ACATGCCCAGGTGTCCGAACAACTTATGACGTTTATTCGATAGCATATAGAGGAACTAACGCTCGAAGCACCCTTCGTGATGAGCCGAGGTGACTTTAGCGGACAAATTGATGTGAGATGCGTCTGGAGCTGCAGCTGCTCAAGTGCCATGGCACAGTGGCCTGCTTGAATAGTCACCCAGGTAACTCGGATCAATGGATCAGAGCAATACTCAGTGAAAACCTGTCCTAGAGGAGTTATTGGTCACAAGACGTGAATGCAAGTTATATAAGTTGTAGTAATTCATTTACAGTAATTGAAATAGTTAATCGCCTTATGAACAACGACAATTTTTACTGTTATAAGGCAATGACATACAGCGTTCATTTTATCACATGTCTGACCTTTCTTGTTCACTAAGAACTCATGATAGATTATCATTTTGTTCAAAGTATGTGATTAACACCCAAAGGTTACATGAGAAGAATGAACGTACCTGGTTAATCACGCTATGATAATTTTCAATTTCGTTCCTTGGCTTCTCTGATAACGCAGCAACATTCATATTAATTTAGGTTGGTTCTTGATTCCCGTTTTGCTGTTTATAATTCTAGTCTCTTTGCCCTTGTGGCTTCTTTTTAGCCGTCTTGCTGTGGCATAATCTGCAATGCGCACACAGTTTCACAAATTGGTTGGCTATAGATGGTTTGAATTCGTTATGTGTTTCGAGCAGAAGCTTTGACACAAAACCTCATTCTGTAGAGGATCTGTCAAAAGTTGTCATTTAGAAAGTCTGTTCCTGATTAATGTATCACCAGTTGTATTACCATTTGCAAAAAAGTTTAAACCGAAAAAAATGCCAAATTGAAAATCATTATCGAATTTATCAAAGGAAGGGCTAGTATAGCAGTGGTGGTCGAAGATTAGTGCATGCGAACTGTTTGAGTTCCAGAAATGCCAAGACAACGTTATAAAAGGTGGCAGTTAAGTCTGTAAGCAATAAAAATTATTACAGTTGCTGTCTTTAACTTATACAGATTAGAATAATTTAGAAAAACGCTGCGTCTGAAGAGGTCATCTTGCTACTAGTCCAAAGTGTAATTTTCAACGAGATCGGTGAATGTTATGCACAAAGGAATTTGAAGACTTTTATTGTACCATAGAGGAATTAATTACATGAGGCCAGCCGTCAGAATATCATGATGCTCGTGGCAAATGTCATTGAAGTAATGAACAAAGCAGCAACGTAGATTTCGAATACAGACAGTTTGGACGTAATTACATTAAGATTTAAGCATGTATCACCGAAACATCACCAAATGTCATATTTAAAATTTTCATCGCAGGACACCGAACGTGATGCAAATGGATGTTCGCTTAAACGGCTAGCCAGCGTTGTTCACATTAGTTGCGTGATATTCACAGAACAAACATTCTTAGTTCACTGTGTACGAGGTCGTTGCGAATTAATGTCCCGCCTTTGTGTCTTGATAATGATAATTCGTGTATTGATAATTTGTCTTACATATGATGACTGATTACTCTTGAATCTTGGCCATCGCCCTTGCAGCATGCGCAGGTGTCAGAATATTGTATAGTCATTCATTTCTTAATATCCTGTACGTTTCCAGGTCCTCAGTTACTTTTCTTATTGTGCTATAGCTGATTTGCTCCTTTACTTCCATGGCAAACCAACATGGGCAGGAGAAAATTTCTCAGCACAGCAACGAATCACCAACAAATCCGTCTTTTAGTCTGCAATGTCTGTTGGCAGATGGCACTGAAACTTCTGTAGTCGAAGAACGATTGTTGATTGTGACAGCCACCAAAAAACGGCCTATTCTCGGTATTATATTGTTTGAGCTGCGCATTTCTTATTGAGTTATCCCATCTTGTAACATATGAGTGTTGTGATGTTTTGTATGTGATAAATGAGAGTCTTTTTACAGGTCGGTTACTAGCATTAAAGTGATTGACTGATTAATTGATTGAAAGATGTACGGGTGACAGCGTTAAAAGTCCGGCAAAAGAAGAAAAGGAATGCTATCACCCTCAAAGTCTAAACTACTGTCAAATCGGCTTGGATCGAATTGAGCATCCAATGTATGTGGGCCATGCTGTAATTCAACTCATGTGAGGCATCAGAGCAATCATACAACGATTCACAGCAGCTATTAAATCCATATTGCTGCGAAACAAACAGATGCCAGAAATGATTTGATGGAAAAATCGGAAAACTCTAAGACACGTCATCTAAAGAACGGAATCAGTGCCTAAATAAATGCTTCTGGATTAAAACAATCATCGAACCGTAACTCAGCTCCAGATCTTGTTTCGGTAGCGGATGAAATCCGTTTTAACTGGAAAGAACAGCACAACACTGTTTTATATCCCGTAAAGAGAAGTAAATACCAGGGGTTCTTTATTTGATATCTATCCGGCTTTTCTTAGCTACGGACACGCCACAATGAGAACTCGATGAATGGACGTTCCTCCTGCATTCTTGAGTTATTGTCTTTTGCCTTCGTCGCTGCAAAAGAAATTTTACCCTCGGATTATTACATTGTGTTCTTGGATGACTAATTCTAAATTGTTAATTCAGCATAACCCAGTTTGTAGTTCTTTACGACCACCGGTTGTCTCTCAGGCGAACCATGTGAGCTGTCGCTTTTCTCTTAGACCTGTAGAATGCAGAAATCACGTCTGCTAATCCAGTCCATTATCGAATTTATGAGTTCAGAGCATAAATCCAGAGAGGACACTACATATTTTTTTCTCCATCGCTCTGCGTGACCATCAGTTTGTTCTCCTCAGCTGTGGCAAAGGACCAACGTTAGCGCTAGAGATCACTGAGGGAAAGGCGATTCAATCGAACAGTTCTTTCTTCTCCTGCATTGGAAGTTCATTGTCGAGTAATGACGTTTCAACATACGATTAAAGATTGCCGAAGCTGCTTTTTTCTATGGCTTGATTCCCAGTTCAACGAGTCTATGCGATCCACCTGACTACCGAGGTGTATATTGTATATGACTTATTTTAGTTCCTCACCATTCACGTAGACAGAGCCCTTGGGTCATTGCTCATTTCCATTCATTTCTTTATAGAGAGGTCGACCTCAAAACCGACTGTGAGATAGTCTTTTTGCAACTCTTGATCTTCTATTGGAGCTCAATCGATTCGTGCGAAGGCAATGCAGTCGTCTGCAAACTGCAAGCCCGTTAGCAGCTATCCGTGCATATTCATACTACTGTTGCATTAGTTCCGTCGGTTTAAGAGTGACTACAAGGCAGCGGTGAATACCGCTGTGAAATGACATCTCCACAATGGTTACTGATGAGACATGGTTCGCTTAGCATCTTGATATCGGTTGTGCATCCAGTGTTCAATTATTCGATCAGGACGACGCAAACGTATTTATGCCATGTTCACGCCAGGTGCTTGACACAGTCTTTAATTTAGTCGAATCGAACACCTTGTAATCGATTAAAACAAAACAACGCAACATTTGATATTCGTTGCTTTTCTCCGTCAGCTGCTAAATCACATGTATATGGTAGATGGTAAAAAATCCTGTACGAAAACCAGCTAAATCCTGACTTTAAACTAGTTCGAGAAAATCCCAAATACGAGTGAGCGTGATTTGCGGCAGGAATGTAATTAATGCATAGTTCTTCAGGTCTTTGAAGTGGCATTTCTTCGTGTGTAGAATCGTTCCTGGTCCACTCTCAAGGCGGCTTGTTTTATCTGCTGTATTCCGTGAACTTTCTGCAGGCGCATTAAACAGCATTGTCTTCTCGTGCTCTATGGTCTTCTGGCCTTAAAATGTTTTTCACTAGGTAGTTGTCATTTTCTGTATTTCTGATTGCCCACTCAACTTCATTCCAGGTGACGTCGGGGACGGCTTCTGAGGCAGAGTGTCAACTTCCGATTCACTTACTTTACAAGAGTGCAGGTTGTCCAAGAGCTTTGTGCAGACAGCGTTCGTCCAGCTGCGAATGGCAGTTCTGATTCCTCCTTCGTCTTTCAGCGCACTCAGAATCCGCTGTTGTAGGCGAATACCTCGTTCCTCCGCCCACAGGCTTTACTTCCGCTCTGTAGCTTCTCTTAATTGAATTATCTTGCGTTTTCATTGCCTTCCGTCAGTTTCTTCCGGGTCTTTTTGCACAGCGTAGTGTACACGCGCCGTTCATTTTATCTTCCTTCTTCAGTTGAGCTCTTCTGGACATCGGCTGCCTTGTGGAATAGCTGATGGGTCAGTTTCTTGTTGACTTTGCTCTTCGGTTCGATGATCTAACGGCAATCTTGATGGTCATATTCTGAATCTATGCCCTCTTTCCTCTTTATTTCAAGGTTTATTGACAGCAACCTCTCTGCCAAAACCTCTGAATCGAATCACAGGTCTTCTGAAGCAGTGATCTTTGGGCTCCTATGATCCGTTTTTCTTTTGCGACATCCATTATAACTGTGGAACGTAGAAGCCCGTGATCTGACCCGGCACATTTAATATTCGCTTTTTGTCGGACAGTACACAGTCCATTTGTTTCAAATTTTGTATATATATTCTGACTTTAGAGTTTTCTAAAAAACGTTGTTTATGATGTGCAGGCTGCTGCTCTCAGCGAAAGTGCGAAGCGATCTTCACTTTCATTTATTTCACTTTTTCCATATTTTCGGATAAATACCTCCGTGTGGTTTGCTTTTTTCCCGACTACCAAGTTGAAGTCTTCTTGGACAATCATGTACACAATCTTCAACTTTATCGCGCGCCTTCCAATTCCTTGCAGAATTGCTCGATCTCTTCATCGTCTGCTTTTTAGGTTCTGCTATACGCTTGGATTATTTTAAAGTTGTTCTTTTGTTTACATGTACAAGCGGAATTGCTATGCAAGGTCACATACTATAACAGCTTAGTAAAAATGGTAAAGTTTTCCCTTTTATTATGAACTCAGTGTAGCTCATTTGAGCTCGGCTCTCGAAGGCTTTCTTGAAGAACAGTTTGTCACTGTTGTTCCGGCATATCTTCACATCTCGCATTTTCCACCGAGATCCACCTTGATCATCTCTATTTCCTTGCAGACGTCAATCAATACATGTGTAGATGGCGTTCCAGCATCATGGCTGGCCCTGACGATCTTGATGGCATTCCTAATCCGCTCACCAATCGGAGTCATGGTAGCCTTCGCCTGCTTGCCCTGTTTCCGCTTCTCTTTCAACGTGTTATAGCGACTAATTGCTTGGCAGTTCATTTTGGCTACCAACCCTCACGAATTACTGCCAATGTGTCCGCAACCTGAATCCAACCAATCAAATTCAGAAAAATGTAGCATTTTGTAAGGTTTGGAAACCGAAGGATATCAATGGCCAGGCAACCCGTCGCCTCAACTTACCGGAGCCGGCTCGCTTACCCATTCCAGGCTCTCACGTAGCCGGAGAAACGCCTAGATGCAATGCTGGCAAAGACCGAACTACTGCGATGCTGGAACGCAGTGTTTCAGAAAAACTGAAAGTACTGCTTGTCTCCCATTTGCAAATACTTCGAGCAAAGTGTGGTGGGGTTTCTGATGAGCATCCGCCTTTATCTTGAGGTCAGTCTCTGTTTTATGGATGAAAATGACATTTCTCAGTAATAGCTCAACTCAGAATTTTGTCAGCAAGTGAAGCGTTACTAAAACGCCATTTAGTTGAAGCCTACGTCATGATTAGCAATCGCACTGTCCTCTATCATGCAGACAAATGGGATACCTACTCGACGCATTACCGATGCAAACTTATGTTTTTCCACCACTCCCGACCTGTTCAATTAAAATCAGGGATCAATACGTCGTGGCAAATTTCATACTCTGTAGCGATGAATGCGTCTTAAGGGAATTCATCGAATTAACTGATGAAGAAGATAAACAAAATGTCGAAAACTTTTAGCATCACAAATGCCATCAGAAATATGCCGCGAGATAAATGCCCTGCAATTGTAGGAAAGTGTATGGGACAGGTTTCAGTAAAACTTAGCCACCTGTCCCTCGTGCATTGCCGTCATCGAAAATGATTCGTGATCGATCGTCACTCGGGTACCAACGGCCGCTTTGGCT